GTGTGTGTGTGTGTGTGTGTGTGTGTGTGTGTGTGTGTGTGTGTGTGTGTGTGTGTGTGTGTGTGTGTGTCAGAGACAGAGAGGGGAGGGGAGGGGAGCTTGAATGGTCAGAAGCCAACGAGCAGCCTTTATTCCTTGGGGCCAACACTGAATGTAAGGTTTCCTACCTTATAATTTGTCCAGACTCTCTTCTATCCAATTATTATACAATTTTGTGAAATTCTAGAATCTGTAAGTAGAAGAGACCTTAGAGGTGAATCACCTCTATTGCATTTCTAGTAAGTGATCTGTACCCAAATACTTCCAAGATAGTTACTACCTCACAAGGCAGTGCTATGAATTGAAGATGATGGAGAGATCCTGGGTATTTGTGCAGCTTCAAGTCTGGTTACATAGTTAACATGCCATGATTTCCAGATGTCCACTTACACCTTCTGCCCATTGTATATTCTCTTCGATGTTCAGCTTCATGTGGTACATTGATCCTGGTATCCTAAATCAACCGTGTGACTATTTTCATGCTAGCCCTCAGCAGAAACGAGCACTTGACACATGCTTCCACCCAACAGAAACTCCCTCACTGTGATGTTTGGAGATTCCACTGAAAGGTTAGGACATGAGAGCAAGTTAACAGACAGGACACAGCTGATGAGGCTTCAGGCTGGGATTTATACACCAATCAGAGGGTTGCCAAGCCCTGCACTCAATCTGCTACAATGTAATACTTTTTTCTTAAAGTCTCAGTCAGACTTGAAACTCCATGATTCTCTACCTATGACACTTCAGGCGTCAGGATTGGCAGTTGGGGAGATATTTTAATTTGGGAATACATTCTGTGCCTGACTTCTCTCAGGCAAGCATCTTGGCCTCACCACCATATCCCCAGCTATGGAATCATCCAAATATAATTTTTTTCGTAAATGCTTTAGTATATTGCTCACTAGCACAAGATATAAAGCTTTAACTATGATTCGAGAATGTGGATGACAAGTTAGTTGGGATTAGGGCAACATGGCCCCTTTCCTTGCCCAGAAGCCTCCTTCAGCAGAAGTCAGGGAGCAGCTGGAACCCTCTAAGCAGATGCCCTCTGCAGGCTACCACTGTAAGGATAAAGAAATAGCCTGTTCACTGAGATTGCACCCCTCGTAGGAAACCATACCTCCACTAGGGTTCAGACGGGAGCCTCCCACTCTGTATGGTCTTGACAAGACCCCCAGCTACCAACCCTTTCCTTTTCTCCTTAACACTCACAGGTTCTCCCTGCTACCCACCTTAGAGACAAGTAGGACTGGACCATTTGTGCCTTTTATAACAAGACTTCCAAGTCATCCATCCTTTGTTGCAAACTCCCCTCACCTTGTAGACCACCTTTTTGATCCCCAGTTCCTAATCTTTCCCCTATTTTATTAAATTTTTATTATGCCCTTTGGTATTCAAGGTCAGTCCATCAGCAAAATCCCCCATATCTCCAGCCTCTTATGTGAATGTTCTCTTTACCTTCTTGCTCCGAGGGAAAGCTGCCTCTCCTCTGAGGTTGCTGCTTCTCCTGAAACTCTCTTTCTTGCTCCTTTTTGCTGCTTATGGGACATTTTTTCTTCCTTTTTTGGTAGGCAGTTTGTTAATACACAGCTTTATTGTAAGTGAGAATTATCTTAGATGCAAGCAAAACTAAGTCCAATGAGATATATGAAAAACGTAAACAGAGGTTCACAAAATCCAAGTAAAGCTCAAGCCAAATCCAGACATGGCTGGACATGACAAGGACATCCAGGATGGCTTTTTTTTCCCTAAATTAAATATATTTGACATATAACATTGTTTAAATTTAACACTGATTAAATAATATATTGATTCACTACTTTGAATCTCATGCCATCACCCAGTCCCCACTAATCATCACCCTTCACTGTTGCAGGTACCTACCGCCCAGTGTCACTTCCCCTCACTCATGAGATAGTAGCTCCTGCTCACTGTCACTCTTTCTAGCACTGCTTCTGTCTTAATACTTACAGATTTCAATATCCATGAAGATGATCTTTCCAAAACTTTCCAGGCTACATCCTCTATCAGCTATTCACTTGCATGCTTATGCCCTTAATCTATTCCTTACTAATAACTGCAACCTAAATCTGAACTCTAAACATGTCACTTGAACCACCACCTTCTATATTTTCAGTGTACTTCTAATACCTTAATTCCAATTCCAATCTTCACACTTACCCCCACCAAAAAAAAAAAATTAATCTGTGGGTCCTACTATCTTTCTACTTTCTCTCATCTCCCTTATTCTTGACTACCCATCTTGTCAAGCTTAAATCCCACAGTTTGTCATTACAATCACTCCTTTGTTAACATTCTTCACTCCCTGCAGTCTCTCATGTTTCATTGTAATTTCTTTGCTAACCAAGAATTCTAGTTAAGTCCAATTCTCTACCCACTCTTAATTTTCTCTCCTGCAAATGAACATAGCAGGAGAAACACATAACCCCAATGCCTGATTGCACTTTAAACTCATGCTCACTGCCCTCAATTGGTCCATAATAAAGATTTCCTGGAATCCTACTATACCCTTAATCCATTCAGTCTCTCTCTCCTTAGACAATAGTATCATAGTTTCCTCTCTGTCTGCAAATATCCAACCCTGCCTCCATGATTCACACTCTCACATGATTATCTTGCTTCCTGTTTTTTTTAAGAAAAATGAAGCAACATAAGAAGGTCTATAAAATCCCATCTCCGTTTCTGTATATGTCTGCATCTGTGGTGCTACATTCTCTGCTTTCCTGTTCTTGTGGGCAGTGGTCTGTGCTTCGTCTTAATTAACCCTGCCATTGGTGCACTCAATCCTGCCCTCTTTCTTACTTGAGAACCTTTGCTTAAGTAATTCTCCCCTTCTTTGTGCATCAACTTCCCCCTCTCTACTGGATGATGCCCATCAGCATACAAATACGTTGCAATTTCTTTCATCTGCGAAACCAACAAAACCAACAACCAAACAAAAACCTCACCTGCCTCCCTTTCCCTTATAACTACTGCCCCGGGTCATTCTTACCTTTAGAGAAAAACTCTTTGAAAAGTTGCGTGTACTTATCCAAATTACCCCCTTACATCCTCAAATCCCTTTTGTTGAGGCTTTTGCCCCAACTTTCCACATAATTGGCTAGGTTGGGCATCTACAGTGACCTCCACGTTGCCAGTTCTGATGATCAGTTCTAAGTCCTTATCTCATAAGACTTAGCAGCATTTGACAATGTAATCACATTTTTACCTTTAAAATACCTTCTCTTGGTATCCAGACCCCTGTACATGACTGGCTCTCCCTCTACATCACTGGCTTCTCTCCGCATCCTTTGCTGCCCTTTTTTATCTCCCTGACTTTTAAGCATTGAAGACCAGAGTTCAGACCTTAGAACCCTTCTGTTTTCTGTCTACACTCATTCCGTAAGTGATCCCATCCAAGTATCAGGGCTTACCACCAACTATTGGCCAACAATTCCAAATCTATGTCCAGCCCATAATGTTTCCTTGAATTCTGAACTCACTCACTGTCTAGATGACACCCCCCACTCAGATGTCCAAGAGAGATCCCCAATGCAGCACGGCCCTAGGAGAAGTCCTGGCTCCCTCCTCCTTG